GGGAGAGGTAACCATATTCATCATCTATATTTGTATCTGTATCTGTATCTGTATCTGTATCTGTATCTGTATCTGTATCTGTATCTGTATCCGTATCTGTATCCGTATCCGTATCCGTATCCGTATCCGTATCCGTATCCATATCCGTATCCGTATCCGTATCCATATCTATATCTATATCTATATATCTATACTTTTATACTTATAATAAACCGTAAACACACACTCCTTCGTGGCGTAGGATGTCAGTAATCAGAGCAAATTTTTGAGTCATTCTTTCTTTAACAAAAATCCCTACAGTTACGATACGCTATTAACAAGCTTAATAGCATACTATAAATCTTTAATAAGTGAGGGGGTTAATACATTGGCAAAACTGTCATGCGGGAAAGGGACAAAAACTACAAGCCAAGCAGCAGTAATTGTTATGCAATGTCAAAGGATTTCCTTATCATTTAAGTATTTCAGTTTTGACATTTGCAATTGATAGTTTTACAAATGCGAATGAAGCCGCACGGGAACATAGTGTCTAATATATGAAAAACATATGTATTTTATTTAATAATATAAATATGGTTATACAGCAGTATATCCCGGAGCAGCAGCGCGCAGGCGTCGCGCGAGGGCTCGCCGCGGCCGCGCGCGGAGGACATCCCGCTGGAGGACATCAGGAGGAACGCCGCTCCTCTCACTACGCAGGTATACAACTATTTCTTACTAATTTACTAATATCTTCGCACTGTGGAGTCGACACGCTACGTAATACCACTACACAGAAAACTAACACACTAAGCGGACTCTACCAATAACATCTTAGCACTGTAGGGTCGGCTCGCCCGGTAAAATACCACGACCACACCGACAGGCGTGAAGTAGAAGCAATTCCACGTGCGGTCTGATGAGTGTGGCCTAATTTTAGTCCATTTTCCATTTCACCGTTTTCTTAAGAGGAAACCTTCTTTAATGGGAAAGAAAAATGGATTTGACGGCGGAGAAGACGCATAGGAAGGGGAAATATCCTGTTTATGTCTCCTCCTCCGTCGATTAAGGGTAGGCAACGGTTCTGCAAACTTTCGCATTTATAATATTAGTATGATTACAGAGTCAACCGAGTACATCAAGTCAAAGTATGAAAGTGGTGACGTCATCTGAAGAGACTTCCTTCATCTCCGGCGAGACGCGATACAAGAGGAAAGGAATCGTCGAAACCATATGATATTAGCCTTTAATACCACGTGATAAGGTAGGAAATGCAATGTTTTACAGATAGCACGAGTTCGTTCTTCGTGAATAGAATTTGTTACTAGACTGTCTATCCTGAAATGGTATAGCGTATGTGACCAGTTATGTATATGAAAGTTATTTATGTTAGGTTGTCGCATTTGATGTGAAATGCTTAAAAAAATGAGATAAAATTAAGTTTTTTTTTTAAATGTAGCGTTTGTCTGATGATCTTTTTCATGTTAAGGCCAGTCCTAAGTGGAAAAAATAACATAGTGACCATTATTTTAATTTTAATGAAAACGTAAAATCGCTTATTATCTTCCTACTTTTTATATATATATTTTTTTTGAAAAAAATCAGTAACCATAGAAAACTTCCTACTTAAATAGTAAAGACAAAAAATATCCTATTTTTAAGATCTTTTTGTTGCTTTATAGAAGGAATTTTTCCAATGTATGACAATTCTAATTAAATTATATTTGGATCGTGAAAATGCTAAATAAAATTGGAAAAAAAAACCGAAAAAATGATACTGAAGTTCAAATTTGATTGGTCCATATAAACATATCGTGAAAATTAAAGCATACATAACCATAAGAAAAAAAAGGCATACAAATATTTTTTTTTATTTTTTTCGTAGTATGCATCACATTATTTGTATGTCAATAAAAAAACTGATGTTATAAACGACATTTTTATTTAAAAAGTTGCAAAAAAGACTTTTCTAAATTTTCTAAACTAACTATTGTGATATTTTTTTTCTTGTATATTTGTTCTTAGTATTTGGTTTATGCCTTTTATAATTATTTAATCTTTCACTTATGAAAATGCTACGTTTGTTTAAACTTTTTCCTATATTTTTTACCTATTTATCAATATTTTGTCCAATATCTCTTTTAATCACCGTCCTTTATTTTTTTAGATATCGGATTAAAACCGATTAAAATAAATACTATTTTAGATTAAAATTTGCGTTGTAAATTTTTTAATCACAAATTTTGTATCATACACTCTAAATATTGTAAAAAAATTCACGGTATGATTACGTACTTCCATCTAGAAAATAGTGTGTCAAATAGTAAAAAAAAAAACTAGTTTACTATTAACAAACATTTATTTACTCTTTGACACTGTTAAGTGACTTTTGTTTGTCAAAGATTACGAATCGAAATGAAACGTTCGGAAATTTGACAATGTCGGTAAAACAGTTTTTATTTCATACTGTTTTATCGTCATAGTCATTCAATATTGTAAGCAAAAAAAATAACATCAGTATAATGTTTCTTTTTGGTCTTAAATAAATATTAAATAAATGAATAATACTTAAAAAATAGTCTATTGACGAATTCTAGGTAAAACTTATTGACACTGACAGTTATAGATTATATTTAATATATATGTTCATGAACACCATTGGTTTTATGTTGTGATTTTATTTAAGGTATGCAATAATTGTACATAGACATTTATGTTTACAAATAAAATGTTGTAGCGTTGAAATGAAATATATATTTAACATGTTATATTTATTTTCGTGTTTTATTCAATATGTTTATAATGGGCGCATGTTTATAATAATATACTTTGTTAATTATATAAACGGCGTTTCATAGATAATGTTATACCCCTGGAATTAAAATAATAATATTTACAAGTCACTACATTTTATTGATTAGAAATGACAAATAAAAATCTGCTGATCTCGCCTTAAAAAAAAAAAATCATTTTTGTATAACAATATGATTTTGTTAAAAATTAATACCCATTACTGCGTTTACGCTAGTATGCTGTACACCAAGTTACTTACAAGATTTTCATGAACATTCTCCCATTTCTCTGAAAAAAAAAGAAATTTCAATGCCTTAATTCAAAGACTATTTAATCGTCTAAACACCATTAATTTAATTTAGCCGGCATTCCTAATTTAAGAGATCGTTTTTTTTAAATGACTCAGCTTCAATGCACTCGAGTGTGATAAGATTTGAAGATTTTGAGCGTTTAAATTGAACGTCAGTTGGGTAAATAAATAAAACATTCACAATCTATATTTCCATTCTAATTTATTTGATTAATCATCTGTTCTATACACATGATATGCACCAATGTTTTAAAATTATACAAACAATGTTATGACACGAATACATAAAAAAACAACTATTTACATAACACGAAATAATCTTACGCAGAATTATATTGCTCATGAGCATAACGAAATAATAATTTAACACAAAATTTAAATCGACGATAATGAAAAGAGTCACATCTTGTAATTGTTCACCGAAGAGATATAACTCTTTTCATCAATCAATTTCAATACTTGGAATAAATATAATCACAGTCATTAAATAGCCCACAAATACGATTTTACAGCGACATTAAACAATCTTTTTGTTTATCCATGACATTCCAAATAAATTATTCTTTAATAAAACGTAAGGAAAATAGACATTGCCAATCAGAATCGCCTTAACCTTAGGGTAGATTTAGTGTAATACTAAAAGACTACCTTATTAGCTATACAATCCTGATGTGGCAGTGTTAGTACAAAAACTTGCGAACAGTCTTTGAATTCGTGAAATATTGAGATACAGAAAATGAAATATAAAAAAAATATGATAGATGTATTAAATAATTATTTTAGTCTTTTCAAAATCTAAATTATTGATAATTAATCTAAAGGAACGATTTTTACAGAAACTATATCTTAATTGTAACTTATAATTACTTGAACGATTTATATTGGTCAGCGCAACTTAGTAAGAGACAGTTAGTACAAAGCTTTTAAGTTACATTTAAATATAAAATTGTAAAGTGTCGCTTGATTAACAATTATGCCATTTTAAATCCTATTTCTATTGCGGATAAGTATGTTAATTATATACAAAACACATTTATTCAGAAATATCGACGAATTAAATACAATTGGATAGCTACGATGTGACACCTCGAATGTGGCAAGAAAATAAAAACACACATAAAAAGAAGCCATCAAAATTATTAGTATATAATCCATTTCGTTTGAAATATATTTCGTTGTTGTGTTTTGACACAGAAGTAAGAGATATATGCATTTAAATGTCCAAAATACCAACCCGCACTTGGCCAGCGTGGTTGACTATGGCAAGTCAGCCCTAACCTAGGGTAGACTCCGAGCCCCTCGGTGGTAACGTATGGTGAGATGATGTTGAAAGGTCCAAAATAAAAAAAATTAAAACCATATCATTGCCTTAGTCTATGAAATAAATAAAATAAATCCAATACATTGATTGTTTCAATGTGTTTTCAGCAAAATGCCATTTAAATGTAACATTCTTAATTTGCGAGGCATCAAAACGTAGCTACAAATTAGGCCGTAAATAGCTTATAAAGTATTAAATTAGCTATATTTATTAGCAACAATTCCTAGGACCCACTGCAGAGTTCGTAAACTGCCTAACAAGCATAGTTTGGAAGCACACATATGTAAGACATTGTAAGTACAGTCGCGGAAGTTCTCGGTGTTCCACTTACAGAAAAACCATGTTCCTTCAAGATTTACTCTTATTCATCTTTGAAATCACTATTTAGGTAGCATGAGTTGGGCAAAGGAAGGCATCATAGTAATAAGAAATAATTCTTGTACAGACAGACACATTTAAAAAACTGCCTTCTAGTTATCGTATCGCGTCGTGGTCCAAATGTGTACAAATAGTTCAAACGATTGCAACCTTTAAAGTGGAACACGACCAGATTTCCCGATTGTACATACCAACAAAAATCCATATAACCACATTGCAAAGCTCATAAAGTATAAAATTGCTTCTACACATTTATATTATAATAATTATTTTATTACATATCTAGTTAGAGTAAATTAAATGTATTATCCATAAATAATAATGAAAAATGATTATTTATACTTCATATTTTGTCTAAAGTATACTGCGCATTAGTTTTTGTCTGTTATGAATATTTAGGAAGCATTACTTGAGTGGTAGAAATGTGTATTGTTTTGTTACAAAATTTGAAAAGTGCCTTTCTTGATGTAGTTAAAACCTTAAAGTGAGGGTTATTAAAACGTTAGATAAATATCTTTCTTCTACAAATTATTTAAAAAAGCGATAGTAGATTTTGTAAAAAATACCTTTTTAGTGGAAAATGTATTTTCGTTAGGAAGTAAAACGGTAAATGAATAATATTCTGTTTAGATAAATATAAAATATGAACCCTGTCACCAATTATGTGCGTTTGAAAGTGGCTCTATAATGGCAGATGAAGGTTTCGTATAAAAAATTACATTTCGTTAAGCTTATAAAATCTAAAAATAAATCGGGATTTAAAAAAAAACTTAAAAAAATATCGGTAATTTGAAATTAAACGTGTGGAATCTTTCGTTACATACAATATTCAAGCAACCAGTTAATCTAAATGAAGCTCATATTTTCCTTAACATCTATTCATATGGGTTCATATTGTGCAAAATTATAACATGAATATTCTACCATTGACTGTATTTTGCGTTTAATAGAAGAGAACAACTCATGAAATTTCACATTTTCATACTTGTTTGTTCGAAAAAATTCACAAATACAGATAATTTTTTTGTTTGTTGTATTAAATAATGCCCAAGTTAAAATTGTAGTGGATTTAGTTATCTTTGTGTTATTCATTGTATGTTCATAAATAATTGAAATGAATATGCATTTTTTATAAGATAGTGATAGTACGTTGGTTAGTTAATAATACTTATGAAATGGCTCAATAAAAATTGTTAAGCGTTCTGTAGACAGCATGCAACGCCGACATCGTTCAAACAAAGCGAAAAATCTTACAATAAACATAAGTAATTGACCATTCTTACATTTAAATAATCCAAAACAACTACACTTTTACAATCTGATTACAAAGATAGAGATATAATTGACAAAAAACTAATCAAAAACCTTTAACATTTACATTTCGGTACGTCACATATATTTTTTAAAATTTATTTCAATTCACATAGCTTTCAAGTGATACCACTCATAAATATGTCGTAGCTAAATCCTGCGAACATTACATCACTACGAAAGGTGCAAATATTTCTAAAATATATAATATATACTTTATAAACTGTACTCTATTGTGCAATATACAATGCACGCATAACACACATTTATTATATTATATTTACCATAGATTCTTACACATAAAAACATTACTGTCAAACAGTATCATTCACTATACATCAATATTTATTTTATCAGCTAATTATATATTACAGTACATTTTTGGTGTACATTACTGTGTTTCGTAGTTCAGACGTCGTGTTTGATCTTTACTATAATAAAAACACTGTTTTACAAGTTACAACACATTTCTACTCTTTAAAAAAATACTCGTTTAAATGCATTGACACGATATGATTTTTTTGAATTAGATATCATGAAACGGTACAAAGATTTGATGCTATTTTAAACATTGAGCCCAGAAGGAAAACACAAGCCTACATTCATGTATTATAAAGGGTTTACTTATGTTTTAACTTGATAATAAAAACTAAAACGATATTAAAATAAGTTCAGCCTACAAACCCGACGGTTGAACTACACACATACATATATCTGGACATCAATATTAAAAACAAATAACCGCACGTACTCATAATACTCCATACATCAGTTAACAATCATTATTGTCAGTTATATAACTATTTTTATGATTTTTTTAATATTTATTTTAAAATATAAATTCGCAACTAGACAAAGGCAGTTTTAAAATAATTTTGTTAATAATATCCATTATTTTTATTTATTAAAATTACACTGAAATGTGATAAATATATTCTCATTCACATTTAATACATAAAAAATCAGATAGACAACGAATCGATTGATGATTTCTTTATAAAATGGCGTATCTGTAAGTATAGAATGAACTGAACATTACACGTGAATGATCTCTGAACTCTGAAGTTATCTACAGCTGTAATATCTACATGTATCTAACTTCAGAGGACAATGAATCTCAACGACTGTAATAATCGTAAACCATCCGTATTGTTTTTTAATCCTCTGTATATAAAAAGATGCAGTCAAAGCATTCCCTTCACATAAAAGAATGGCATTCATAGGCGCCCTGATGTCAAGTTAAATCTAGCAAAGTACACTTAAAATTAGTTACGAATATCGATAGGAGCTTGCAATTTATTCAAACGTGCAAATAATCGACCGATCTCAGCTTACCGAATCACTTATAATAACGGTCAGATTTACGCTATCACATAACATCCATTTACAGTCCATAGATTATAGAGTCAAGTCATTAAGCCGGTATAAGTTTGATATAAAATTGTATTGCGA